AAAAAATTTAGTTTTTATTGATTTTATAAATCTACTATAATCTAGGGTTATTGGTTGATGGATTTTTTATAATTTCTCATTAAACAAAATTTTAAGAATACCTTGGAAAACCATTGGATTCTTAAAATTCTTATAACTAAACTTTTTAAATACTTACAACTCTCTACAAATTTAATAGAATCTATTAATTTTAGAAATCAATCAATTTTATAAGAATCCAACTCCCAATAAACCCCCTAAATTCTTAAAAAAATATTACGTTTGACACATCCAAAAATAAATTTATCGGTTAGTTCTTTTATTTTTATGATTGAAATATCTCGTTTCTAATATTTTAACGTTAAGTAAAACATTAACAATATTTAACTTACATGTTATTCAATGTTTCGACCAAAACAAAAAAAGAGTTATTCATGTATAACTTATATATGTAGACCAGTATAATTTTGATAAATGTATTTAACTTACAAAAAAATATAGTATTTGATGAAAATGTTTTTTACGTTTTTCTCCTAAATGTGTGTTAGAGTCTACTCTCACTCAAACTATAAGAATTAAAATACTATGTATAGTCTTCAAACCATAGTTAGGTGTATCAATTAGTATTTCTCTTAATCTATCAAATGGACAGATGAACTTCCACGATCCCATTAATTTTATAAAACATCAAAAGAAGTTTCGTATGAAAAATGTTCCCTTTAGTTCCAAATAATAATTTATTTTAGAGTATAAATGTATAGTAGGTGTTTTCATCAAACCATGAGATGAAAGGGACAACTAAACAGACATGAATGAGAGACAGAAGTAAAACACAAGTAATTAGCATTTAATATTATTAAGTTTTATTTGAGACTTATATTTCAAGTTTCATTATATGTTTCGATCAACTTCTCATATATTTCCAAGCAAGAACCTCCAATTTCCTAATAATAAAAGTAGAGTACAAAAGAAGAACTAAAAAAATGTCGATAATCTTCGCCCTTGATCGCATAATTAAAGAAAAGCATAATTTGTTTTTTGTTAATTAAGCGCATAGTTTTATCGACTGTTTGATCCAAGCCTAAACCCGCCACATGAAGCGAAAGGTTTTTTCAATTTACAAAGGAAAAGCAATTGATAAATAATGACATCATCGATACTCAATGAGCACACACAATGGCTTTCCCCCTAATCGCTCCCTTCCCTGCAAATTTTTATTCAGCATGAAATTTCAAATTACTCAATATGACTTTAAGAATGTAACTTGTCAACCATTTGCGCTCTTAAGCATGTAATAATAAAGTAACATGAAAGTGAAATTCCTTGGACATTAACTTACCATTAATTCGGGTAACTCGATCACGCATGCACATTCGACAACTTCTGCTCCAACTCGCTCTAACACAATTTAAAAAAAATAAAATCTTCAAAATTAGTGTCTCAATGGTTGTTTGCGTTTGTATATTTTTTTTTTGTCAACCAATTCAATTAGTGAGGTTGAATTCCGGTGAAAAAGACCGGTTAGGTGAGCTTTTAACCATTTGACTAAAGGCACTTCATCGTTTGCG